TCCTTACCCAGCAACTATTGTAATGATAAGCTGAAGCCTGTAATCTGTGGGTCTGAGTTTCCACAGAGCGCTGCAGTCGGTATGGATGCACCCTTACACTTGTCTTCAGCGACCACTTCTGCCTTGGCTTTTGATCTACTCTTCAATTATACCATGTAGCAATCATCTCCCCATGGCAGAGATGGTGGGTGAAGTTAAAAGGATTCACACTGATAATTTGCAAACACACTTGGCTATGTTAGGCAACCACAATTTGCCAATGTGTATTTTAAGGGATTTTGCAACTTTTTTTTGTAATTTGTAGATGTTCTTTTCCTGGTTAACACCCACCCTCTACAGTAGTAACTATGCCTGTAAAATCTAAAAAAAAAGATGATGTTGCTATGACATGATAACACTGACAGTGGGTTACATGTTAAATATTGCACTCCAAAACATGCAAGTTTTTTACACTTACTGGGTAGTAATGTTCAAGTATTAAAGAAAGCTAAAATAATCATTCAGAACATAGAAGAAGGATTTCTTAAATTATATATTTTTTTAAACTTGTTTAAAGCTGTAACCAACATATTAAAGAAAACTGGTTTGAAATGACTAGAAAGAGAAAGCACATTTCTCCCATATTGGCTTTTCTTCATTGGCTTCCTGTTAATTTTATGTTAATTTTATTTTATGACCAGAATAGAGCACTTCAGTCTCAGGCTTACTTGTGATTTAGCCTCGTCTTCTCTGAAACCAGCTCCCAGTTTGGATTCTGGAGACAGACACCCTCTCTACTTTTAAGATTCGGCTAAAAACTTTCCTTTTTCATAAAGCATATAATTATGGCTGGATCAGACGACCTTGAATCCTCCCGTAGTTATGCTGCAATAGATCTTGGCTGCTTTTGAGTTCCCATGACGAGTGTTTATTCACCTGTTTTCACTGTGTGTTTATACATGTGTTTATCCAACAATTTGTATTTAATAATTTGTTATTATTAATTTATGACTCTCCTCCACACTGTGCCTCTTATCTTGTTTATCCCCCTGCCAGAGGTTTCTTCCTATCAAAAGGGAGTTTTTCCTTCCCACTGTCACCAAGTGCTTGTTCAAAGAGGATCATCTGATTGTTGGGGTTTTCTCTGAATTATTCGAGGGGCTTTACCTTACAATATAAGGCACCTTGAGGTGACTCTTCTTGTGATTTGGTGCGACATAAATAAGATTTCATTGAATTGGTTTGATTTTTGAAAGATCTAGTCTCTGAACTGAGTCACAGCTAAATAAAATTTTGAAAATCACAAACCCGACTTAGCTTCAGCACACCAGACTTTAATGGACAGCCATATTCATCAAAAGTAATAACAGATACTTAAGTTCTTAAATTAATTTAGAATAAGAGTTATACTACTGGTGCTTCAGGGGGAAAAGACTTACACAGCCCACGTGATCATGACAGGAGACTGCTTAATCCATAGACTGAGTCTGTGGTGGGTGTGCGCAGTCCAGCATATCATCCACAGTTACCATTATTCTGAGCTGTTCTTATTTACAGTCCACTAAACATTGCCACCAGCTGTTTTCACTGTGGATAAAAGATAAATCCATGGGATTAGCATGACTCAGCATTTTAGGTGTAGGTATAAGAGCTTGTGAGGCGTTAACCCCAAGTGTAGTCAATGCACAAGACAAAAAGCCTTTGGTTTTTTCAGATCGAGAGGGATCAGTCGCATGAGAAACATGCACATCTCTCACTATAATGAATAGAAGCTCAATGTTTGAGCTTGTAAAGGTGATTATGAGATTTACGACTTCACCACAAGGCTGCTGAAGAGTTGTGACCTGGATACTAATAGTTTTTTGTTGTATTTTTTTAATATGATTATTTTTATACACCTATGGCTGATATTCCTGGCCTATTTAGTAAATCATTGAGTCAATGTTCAGCACTGTAGCTGTATTATATATTATGTTATATATCATTATCATGCAACAAAGAGCACACGGGCAAACCAAACAGGAAAACGTTACAGTGTGTGTCAGTGTATCCACCCTTTTATTGCTCTTCTTTGCTCTCCCCACAGCGCAGACCTTAACCTCATCCATCAGCAAGTTCCAACAGGTTTTTAAATAAGGAACAAATAAGGTGCAGCATTGTTTTATAGTTTAAAGAATAAACCACCTGTGGCAGTGTTCTGTCATTTTTTGAGCCGAGACTATTGTCAAGGCCTCAGAGCTGAGGTCTAGACCTGCTTTGAAATTTCAGAGAAGTTTATTGTGGGAGATCAGAGCAAACCGCCCTAGTTTGCCTTGGGTTATTTATTCAGCTACAGAATGGCATTTTCAAGCACATCGCTACGTGACAATACAAGGGAACAGTGTAGAAAAGAGGTCAGAAAACCTTGAACAAAGTAGGAGTTTGTAAACCTTTAAAAATTGCCTTTTTGTGCATGGAGACTAGAGTAGATTAGCATCTCAAGGCACCTGGGATTGAAAGCCTCCTCAAATCTCAAAGAAAGTTCTTCTCAAGTGTTTTTTCAGACTTTCTCATGCAAACTTGGATGGCACAAGTAAGAATGAAAGCAGACCAATTCAGTGAGTTGACCCTTGACTCCTTTGCAGCAGTCAATCAACCTGCCATTGTCAAGGAGGAAATTCGTCATTTTTCTGTCAGAATCCAAAGACAATTAACCAATTTCCACCTCTGGTCATCTGCGCATTATGGTTGTTACTCAAAACATTTGCAAGTCAAACACATAAGATGATGTTTGCTTTGTAGCTGCAAAGCTACAGAGATTAGCACTGACGAGCGTTGGATTACAGGGTCCCTGCTGGGATGTCAAAGGGCTTCGCGGACTCCTTTCACCTCCACCCTCACTGGAGCAAAGCATCAGTGGCTGGGGTTACCTACCATCAATGATTTGCTTCAAGAGGATCAGAATGCCTTTTCAGTATTCAGAGTTACTACTGACCTGCAGCAGCGCCTCCCCCTCACCCATGAGTTACGCCCCACTTATATCTTGGCAAACCAATACAAAAAGATCCCTCACAGAAATCGGAATTTAAACAATGGAGGTTATAGGCTCAACGAGAGCCACTCCAGAGCTCAGACCACAGGGAAGTGAAGGCGTTGTGTACATACAAAACTATGTGGAAGCTATTATTATAAAACAGTTCAATTTTAAGACTTTGAAAGCAAATGTTAGCTGTGACACAGTGGGTCAGCTTGATCAGACACTATGACAGCTACAAATGTGACTTAGGACTAATAAGTGTTAGTCTGATGTTTCCTGTAAAGGAAAAATGGTCAGAAAATTGAGATATTGATGTCGCTTCAATTCAGTGTTGTACAAAAAAATAAATAAAGCAACACTTCAAAAACACATCAGATGCCAGTGGGGAAAAATAATGTTGGATATGCACACTAATGTGGTTTGGGTAATGTGTTAGGAATGAAAGGATGCTGCATCATCTGATGGAAATGATATTATTAACCCACAGAGGGCTGAATTCAAAGATATCTCAAAAATCAAAGTGAAAAATGATGCAGCACAAATGAATTTCTTATCCAGGAACTGTCTACATAGTAGACAAGCGGCCAGGCATTGTGGAGGAATCCAGAACCCACTGGGCAAGTGTAGAGTCTGACAATAGCTTCAAGGATGGGTCTTAACTGCTGTTGCCTAGCCTGTAGAAGTCTGTGTGTCCCTCCCCAGACCGTCACTGACATGCCACCAAACCAGTCATGCAGAATGATGTTATAGGCAGCATAACCTTCTCCACAGCTTCTCCAGACCGTTTCATATCACTCATGTGCTCAGAGTGAACCTGATCATCTGTGAAAAGCACAGAGCACCAGTAGTAGACCTACTAAATCTACTATTCTATTGTAAATGCCAATCGGGCTCCATGGTCCAGGGCAGAGTGCACAAGGCCCGCTAGAGGACATCGGGTGCTGAGGCTACCCTCACAAAGTCTGTTTTCTGATTGTTTGGTCAGAGACATTCACACCAGTAGGCTGCTGGGGCTCATTTTGTAGCTCTGGCAGTCCTCATTCTGATCCTCCTTACACAAAAGAGCAGATACCGCTCCTCCTGATGGGTTAAGAATCTCAACAGCCCTCTCCAGCTCTCCTAGACTAAATGCCTGGCTCCTGGAATCTTCTCCATGCTCTTTGCTGGGAGACACAGCAAACCTTCTAGCAATGATACGAATTCATGTGTCATCCTGGTGGAGCTGGACTACCTGTGCAACTTCTGCCGGCTCCAAGTATCTCCCCATCCTACCAGCAGTGACACTGACCATAGCAAAATACAAAACTAATGAAAACACAGCCCAAAAAGATGAGGAGGGAAAAAATGTCAGTAGACCTATGAAACCATTCCTGTTTTAGGGGTTGCCTCACTAGGAAGAACTGTCTTGTGAAACCAGTCTTAATAAAGGACAGTGATCTGCCACAATGTTATGTTAATAGAAACATGCTCCAGATACACCACCTCACGTGGTCACAGTTTTTATTTACACTTACTACCCGGTAAGTGTAAAAACACTTACATGTTTTTGGAGTGCAACATATAGCATGTAATTCACTGTCCTCATACACAATTCACAGCAATTTTCTAGCTTATTGCTACATTTTTACATCTTCAAGGCCAAAGTAGCTGCTGAGAGTACTGAATGAGTTACTCTGACTGAAACTAGTGCACTGATACAGTGGGCAAAGCAAAAGTGTAAAAGTTTAAACCTACAGTATGTTAACTGCCACACAGTCTGTTATCTAGCAAAATGCTGTGGTGGTTAACACTATCGCTAATGTTGACTAAACAACGTCACAGCCAACGATAAAAAAGTATTTACATTTGTTTTTAGATTTGTTTCCTTTGTCTTTATCAAGATAAAATAAAATTTGTGAACAAATTTCTACAAAACATCTTAGTATTTTGGATTTACACTCTTCAATGTAAAAAACAAAATAAAACAGGTATGCTTATATTAATAAATATACCTAATGGTCTGTTTCTATGTGTCATGCTGGATTAAATTCAGACATGGCATTGCATGACTCCTGGCATTTTTCCAGATACCCCAGAATACACCGTGCTAACAAGTAGCTTTGGAGCGGTGGTGGAGATGCCAGGGGAGGCTGCTCTTTTTGTTCTCATGCTGGTGTGCTTGGTTGGACAGAACATTTTGGGATCGCAGCCAGAGATTTTTTGAGGAAATATGAGAGGGCAACCTCCTGCAATCACCCAGTGTCGATGACCACTCGAGTGCAACGCAGTGGTGAGCTGCCACTCAAGATGCCGCCAGATCATTCCTTAGAAGTAAACTCCTGATGAGCTGTGGATGTGTGAGTGTATGCTTGTGTGTGCGTGTGTAGGCCAAGAGGAAATTGGACAGGCAAACAGCTGCTCTTTCCCTGCAAATTCTTCAGCCCACAAGGCAGAAATGAAAGGATACTTTGAAACGCAAAAATTGCTTTAATTTCTGGTTGACTTCAAGCCGTATTGCCTTAAATTATGTGAACTATTATACGCTGCAGAGGAAAAAAGACAGGGTTTCTTTGTGTGTGTGCATGTGTGTGTGTGCTAGAGAGAGAGAGAGATTTCAACATTGCCCCATATTCTAGGTTTATGCATATTTAAGGACGTGCTAATATTTACCATGCTAGTCATTAATTAGCAGTTGCAGGCTGCCCTCTATGTGTCTAATGGGCCATTACAGTATTGTTGTGTGCACACATCTATCCAAGATTAAACTTGCAACACAGAGATGGGTCTCATCAACATTAAAGGTAGAAACATTTAAAATTCATAGCCACAAAGCACCTTCTGACACAAAAGGCTATTAAAATGTTGTTCAGTCGCTGGGGCTTTTCTCAGTGCACACTAAATCGGATCAATGGTGTTCCAGTTTGAGAGAAGACCTCCTGCAGTGAATTTTCAATGTCTATCAGTGGCACACTGCTAAACTCCTTGTATGCACAGGCAGTATACATTCAAAGATACATTGAGGCTCTTCCATTTGACCCCGATGCTGTGCCCATACCCCCCGTTGCTCTTCTCTGGACTTCCCCATGCATTTGGCTCATTTGAATTCCACGATGGGAGACCTCCAACGAGTTGGGGGAACTGTTAAACTCCCCGACAAGACTGCTAATTAATTTCAACAGACTGTACACACTGCATCTTTGGTGCTGATTTATGAGCATAAATCAGTCTTTCTCTCTTTTATTTTAACTAAGAAGTGGGATGTATCAGTCTGAAGCCCATAATTTCTTAAAGCACTGCATGCAGACATGCATCAGGGAGGGTTTTGTGTTGCTGTCTCTTTTTCGGTATAAACAGTTCAGCAAATGAAAAAGTGTTCAACCTGAAATGTGACATGCACAGGGCAGAGAGAATAACAAAGGTGTTGGATTCAGATTTTTGTCGTTCTTCTGTTCGATCACCTATTTTTGCTGCACTTGTTTAATCTTTGCCTTTACTAGTGTCTTTGTTTGCTAAACCTGCCATTTGGAGCAAGCATTTGGAATAAGCCGAGACATTTGCTCAAGAGACCAGTAATATTTCCCCATCACATTTATGCATGGAAACATTTCTCAGTTGGATTCAATATACATCCTGACTGTGAACAGCAAACCATGGTGGAAGTTTCTAATTATTCAGCTATCTGATTTGAAGATGTGATCTCTTAAGAAGGTGTCAAAGAATGCCTTCATTGCTGTACTGTCAATTTCTCACATAGCATCATAGCATCTCCATTTACTTCCAAAGTTGCCCTCTGGTTCTGTCAGTGTACATTCAATCATTGCCACAATCGTGTTGCAGCTTTGCTTTGAGATGCAAAAACTCCTCTTCTGCCACCAGCATCAGCTAAACTATACCGCCAAAAGGATTTGTTCACTCTTTCAAATTATTCAGTTCAGGTGTTTCAATCACTTCCATAGCCACAGGTGTATATAGTCAAGTCAATTTCGTCACTATTAAACATTCCACAGTTGCATGTTAGTGGTATTACAGTAAAGTGGAACTTATTGGTAACAGCAGCAACTCAGCCGTGAAGTGGCAGGCCACATAAAATCACAGAGCAGGATCAGCAGATGCTGAGGTACATAGTGTGCAGAGGTCACCAAATTTCTGCACAGTCAGTTGTAACAGACCTCCAAACTTCATGTGGCCTTCAGATTAACTCAAGAACAGTGCATTGAGAACTTCATGGAATGAGTTTCCATGGCCAATCAGCTGTTTCCAAGTTTTACGTCACCAAGGACAATGCAAAGCATCAGATGCTGTCGTGTAAGGCACCCTGAGACACTGGACTCGAGAGGAGTAGAGACGTGTTCTCTGGAGAGAAAAGTCCCACTTGTCCATCTGCCAATCCGATGAACCAGTCTGAGTTCATAGGTTGCCAGGAGAATGGTGCTCATTTGTCCAAGTTTGAATTTTGGTGAGGGGGACATTATGATGTGGGGGTGCTTTTCAGGAAATGGGTCGGCACCTTAGTTCCAGTTAAAAGAACTCTTAATGCTTCAGCATACCGAGATATTTTGAACTATTTCATGCTCCCAACTTTGTGGGAAAAGTTTGGGGACGGCCCCTTCCTGTTCCATCATGTGTTCCAGACATGCATTAAAATTTAACTATACAACTGATTTTAATTTTTTTTAAAATTTGTAGATTTTATTCACGTTACTTGCAAAATTTGAAAAACACATTCCCTCTTAATAAAACACACATTTTCACTGTGATACAGTTGTGATGCATAATGGTGACCACATGTTTTAAAATGGTATATTTGTATATTGGATCATTTGCAACAGGCACCAAATGGTTTTAATGGTTTAAAAATACTCATTATTATTTGAGAATTGTGCCTTTTATGTCCCCTGTTATTGTGTTTTATCGTTATTCCGTATCTGCTTTAGTTTTGAACTATATCACAGTCTCCTTTGAAAAAAATATTCTAATGGGATTTTTTTTATTACATAAAGGCTACATCTGCTGTTCTAAGGGTGAAATTTCTCAAATCTTTTCCTAAACATTTCAACAATTTTAACCACGGTTATTAAGTTGAACAGTTAATAAGAGTTTTCCAGACTCCTAAAAGCTATGAAACAATAACGTCTGCTGCAAAAAATATCCCACATGTAACCCCAACACCATCATGGTTGGGAAATAGACGTAATTCTGCCTGTTATGCAATCATAATGGACTGTATAGCATCCGTGGCTAGCACAACTTCTCATTTCATGTGTCCTTGTTTACCATTAAAGTTTCCTAGATATCACATGACTTCCTCAGATCACTTCCTGCACCTGCAGCGTTTCCACCCGCTGATTTAAGCCACTTTGGCATGTCTCCCACCTCTGCCCTTGTTCCCAAACTACAGGGGACCTCGCTTTCTGCTCTCCCTCACATCTCCACCTCTCCTTCGCCTCTATCAGATCCTCTTCTCCACCTCTTTTCCTCTGCACTCTAATTATCGAGAGCCTTCTCCCCTGTGCTGGCTGTTAGTTTTCCTTTTTTGTTGTTGTTGTTTTTTGAACTTTTATGCTTCTCCTCATCTTTAGCGTCAGACTCTCCCTTTCCAGCTCTCTTTATTTTCTTCTCCCTTCATCCCTCCACTCGCCACAGGAGAGCAGAGGCTCTGGCTTCACTCCCTGCCTCTGCGTGTGAAGTGTGCATGCAGTGTTTGGATCCTGTCAGTTGGGTTAGAGGAGGCACGAGATGATTAGGCACTTCAAAGAATCTCCTGCGCACAGGTGTGAGAGCTATCCTTCACCAGGAGCACACACACACACACACACACAGGGAATTTACCTGAGCTCTCGGCAGCTCGGGTCCTCGTCAAACAAGCGTCTTCTTTGATGGTCTCTTGGGCACCGCTGGCTTCTGTTCGCACCCCAGGTTAGCACACATACACAGAAAGAAGACAGGTACAGATACACTCCATCTCCTACTAACAACATACAATTGCTGTAATGAAGTCCCACGTCATTATGCAGAGGTACTCAAATGTCCTCACCTGTCATTTAATAATAAACAACTTCTGACGAGCTCCAGTTGGTCTCATGTATTATGTATTTGCAAAAGATGGCATCAAACCTCAAGCATAAAGAGAATAAACCCTTTCGGGCACCACAATTGCAGTGATGGCTCTCATTATGCTTTTCCCTCACAAAATAACTTAATTGCGTTTTGGTTATTTATGTGGTGAAGTCTCCTTTTCATGTAATGCAGACCATCTGTATGCATTGTCATAGAAGTTGTTTTTAAGTTTATGAGTCACTAACTTTTATTAAGAGTATCACTCGTGGTGTCATCAGCCAAGCCTATAAAAATATAATCATAAAAGGCCTGTGGGTTACAGTTGCCTCTCTCTGCTTAGATCATCTCTTGTATGCTCCTTTCACAGAGACAAAGTGAAATGAGTCGCAACTGTGTAAAATCATGCAAATGTTGCTTGTCATCATTGGGACTCATCAAAATCACATGCAGCATTAAAGAATTGTATTAGCGTGTGTTGTGAGGTGCAGTGATGGCCATGTGCTCTGGGTCACTGGTTTCACAAGCTCCATGCTAAAAGTAATAGCCTTACATACAAACATTATTTATGTCTTACTTCAAATAGGTTTTGGATGACTTTGGGTAGATTGAGATGACATTTTAAAGTTTAGTTTGTAATGTAATTTTCAATCTTTTTTTTTTTTTTATGTGTTTGCCTGGAAACAAAAGTTGAACACAATATATATATATATACACACACATATATATATACACACATATATACATATATATATATATATATATACATATATATCACACAATATATATATACATCCATATATATATCATATAATATACACCACATATATATATACACAACATATATATATACACACACATATATATACACACACAATATATATATATACATATATATATATATATATATATATATATATATATATCCACATATATATATATATATATTTAAATATATATATATATATAGTATCACTATATAAATATATAACTTATATTATATATATATCACATATCATATATAATATATATAAACAAAATATATATAGTATATTATGTATATATATATCAATATATATATATATATACAACTATATATATATATATACATATATATATATATATATATATATAATCTCTCT